GGACAGTTGGGCGATAAAGGTGCGAAGTTCCGATTCTCCTGGTCTTATTACTTTGATAAGTTATGGGGGACAGCTTGTTGGGACCCAGTAAAACTTCTCAAGCATCAAATTCTGCTTACAATGAGTCGTCGGTTAATAGGTAGTGTTCAAGAATTTTCTACACTTTTGTTTTGGTGGTAGTAAAGGTGCGAATAGAAGTGGTCTTGTCACGTGACCGCTTCTGTCTGACACCCCGGCTGTTTTAGTGTTGTTTACGCAGATACTTCGCTACGGGGACAACAACTTCTCAAATAAAAAAGCGAAAGGGGACAGGGTTCTGTCGTATGGTGATTGTTTTGGCCGGGAGTGGTGGTTGCGCAGCTCTCCAGACGTCTAGCTGGCAGCTTTTTTCTAAGCATAAATGTCATTTGGATGCAGGAACGGATTGACGGTAATTTATCTGTACCTCGTAGCCTTGATACTTTCCGATGAATGCCTTTATTATCCACCTCCGTTAAAGTCAGGGCTAACGAATTCAAGCCGTCTTTCACCGAGGTACCATTTAAACATCTCCTTGCACTATTACAGTGTCTACGCTTCACCGACAAATCGTATCTATGAGGAGGTAGCCCCGACGCCGACTGTGGTGACGCCAGGTCTCACGGAAAAGACACCAACCACTGCGCAACCCTCTCATTGCCTCGGTGACTCAGCCCTTGCTCGCTCCGCCTCAACCACTACGCTGACCAGCGTTGAGACCGAGGTGGAGCCGACCTATGCCGTTCCACTGTCTACTGCGGCCGTCTCCACCGGCCCTCCGCAGCTTCCCGTGCCTCCACCGGTGCCTCCTAAGGGTACGCTTAACACTGCTCTGCTGGAGTTGGGGGATCACTTAGTCAGCTCCACGCCTCCAGCTCTTACGGCATCGCCTCAACCGCCGGTGTTTGTGGAGGTGCGTTGAGCCGTTCATCAATAAGGGCTAAGGCCTAGAGTGATCGAATTTCATCACACCATCATTTTGAATCTATCCCCCCTCTATTTGCCTCCTATTGATACCTCTTTCAGCATTAAGTTGTATGTTTTGGGTGGATTTATTGAGAGGAAAACAACAAAGTGGCTGTAAGATCTCCGCCCGATAATAATCACCTTTTCTAGTTTTTAGCATAACTTAAGTAGCAAATAAAATTTCTGGATTGTGGTAGTTGATTTTTCTCCGCGACTCCTGTATATGCTGCTCGTAGGATTTGATGTACAGAACGTCCCGTAAGATTTGCTTGGATTTCTTATTCAAAATCCCCTTCTAGATTAAACGAACTAGGTTGAAAAGGATAGTCTAAAATTATATCTGATGGTTTTTTTTTTAAATCGTTATTTATAGAAGAACCTTCATCACCGACGAGCAGCAAGCGCCTTGCGAGTCTCCTACCAGCGGTCACCACGTTTTGACGACTCTGTCCACAGTCGACGTCCAGCCTCCACAGTCTCTCCTTCCGGTTCGACTACTACTACGATGGCAAGCAGCATCAGTAGCAGTTGGTACGCTGATATTCTTCCTTACAAACCCTCCACCCTCCCAGAGACCCTGGCCGATCGCCTGAGACAGCGTAACAGTTTCATCCTCTCCACCCCGGCTCCGCCCTGCGATGACCTCATGACGCGGTCGCTCTTCGAGCCGCGTCAATCCTCGGAGAGCAGCGTGCGAATCTTGCCGAGTCGTTCCGCGTCTCGCACTCGACCCGTCTCCTTTCATGACGCTCCCTCAACTTCCATCAACCTCCCCTCTCTGGACCATCTGTTGAAACCATCAGAGGGCAGAAAGGCGCTTCCACAGGCTCCTGAAGTTGTCCCACCATTGAAGGGAGGGCTGCTGTTGCAGGAGCCGCTCCCAGTCCAGCCATCGGATTCACCTTTATTGGGACAGTACTGTAGATTGAAGCTGGTGATACCTCCTTCTTCCTTTTCGACCTCATCTGACTCTGCGTCAGGTGGAGGTAGAAAGGGCGCCTGCTCGACTTTTATGTGACCTCCAGGACTTGGATTACCTCAGTGATTAATATTTATGTTAATATACGCTTGCATATTTCTCCTCTGTGTGCTGTCACTCTACTTACACCAGCGTTCAACGAGAGAGTGGAGACTTCAAGGGGTGCTGTTTAACCATTACTCAGGGAGCCTTGACTCAGAAAGATGCGCCAGTTCTACTGAACTATTCTGGAGTAGCCAAAGGTCTCCTTCACCTCCTGTGCAATTTCGGCATAGGACAGTTTGCTTTTGCGTCGACCATGAGTTTCATGCGCGAGGCAGATTGATAATGCGATTGACTGGTACGGTATTGAACAAGTGAAAGCCGCCGCGGTAGAGAACATCTTTGATGGATGTACGGCTGTCTTTGGAACATCCATACTACTCAAATGTCTCACTGGAGTGGGTTTGGGTGCCGTGCTTTCAATCTTAAGAAACTTGATTTATCATCCCGTGCTGCTCTTTGCACACATTACTGATGCTATCTGTCATTCATGTTAATCAATGATGTCTAAACCGTTATGAATCTGCAATTTCTTTAATTCTGAAGGACCTAGCAGAGATTTGCCGTCGATTTCGTTGCAGAGCAGCTATTTCATGTGCTTTTTTTGTATCATCAAGGTCTGGTGTTGCTAAAATTTTTAGTCACCTTCCTCAGGGTTGCGAGGTTAAGGTGGTTGCCAAAGGCGAATACCACTTCTTTAGCCCCTCCATTTTGGTTTAACCATTCGTAGCAGATATCTTCCTTCTGAATCGTTGAAATTTAATGGGAAACCACCAAAAATAGGATAATGTTCATTTGGATTAGATTTCGCTTATCGCCTTAACCGATGCAGCTGGGAGATCAGTGACATCGGTCCGGATATCAGTATCCTCCCATGATGGGGGTAAAAATTGAAAGAAATAAAAAAAGAACTGTACAGCTAGGAACAACCTAAACAAATACAACACCTCATTTTTTAATCGGCAAAGCCTTCATTTGGTGTCGAAATAAATGTGGACATGAATCATGCCAACTGCTCTAATCTCGAGAATGTGTCAGAAAGGAGTCAATGCAACACCCCATCTTGTATTAGATACAAAAAAAACTCCCTTGAGTAATTTACCCAAGTAAAGATTAGCAACGGCCATTTTTGTCGTATTACAGGTTCCAATTTCTGAATGGAGGCGAAATTTGTCAGGACCCATATGCAATAATGGAGAAGGGGAGTGAACGGCTGTCAACTTTTGATTGGTTACCAAGTTGTAGACAGTAAAATGGGTGGACCGCAAATCCCACATCTGATGGCGATTTGGATATTTTTTGATTATTTAGTATCGTGGGTTTGCAACAATGCAGTTATTTCTCAGCATAGATGACCTTAAAAAAGATCAAACAATGCTAGGAAGACGCTGCCACAAAGAAGGACAACTGCGTAGAAGATCGGCATAATTTTTAATGAGGTAGAGTTGGGAATTCAAGTCTATTGTTCATTAATTAGGCGATTTGAAAGAACTTATGGGCATGTTAGCTGCGAAGTTTACTGCTGTAAAATCATTTGGTGTAAAAAGCAAAAAACCTGACTCAGGCACCTCCATTTCAATCTCACTTATATCTTCCAACCGTCC